TTCTCTTGTGCTCAGACACGCATCTGTGTGCATTGTGCTCACGACAAGAACATTGTTGTTTATCTTTGGGCAATATGAAACAACTGTTTTCTCAGTGAAAAGAAATATTGAGTAATGCAGTGATCTTCCCTACATCTTCAAAATTTCACTGGGAAGTTCTGGCTTTTTTCTTCTGATTTTTCCCAACATAGTCAGCTTTCTCTTCAGAAGTTCCTCTCCAAGCCAGTAGGATGTAAAGAAATTGTCACAGGCGATGTTATCCCCTTGCAGCCCTTCACTCATCTGCAACACCACACACATCCCCTGATTCTTCTCAGATGCTCCTCCAGGTAGCTTTCCAGTGTACACTTTCATATTCCATGCATAGCTAGATTTTGCATCACAAGGCTACCCATATTTTGATGCAATACTTGGCCGGCTTGTTGGGCATATACTGTCAGAAAGGACAGTGACCCCTGAATGGGACAAGGTGCTCATCAACAGTAACGTGGGAACCAGGGTTGTACAACAAAGGTAGAATTCCCACCCATTTATCCCATACATCTCTGATTGCAGCAAGTTTGTCTCTTACACATCAACCAGCTCTGGTTTCGCGGTTGTCAAATCTGATCACATGAGATATCTTGAGAAATGACATTTGTTGCTTGAAAGATTGGCCTTCCATTCTCTTCATTCCATAGACTTGCAGTTGCTTGGACCTGTATAGTCCAGCTAATATCAGAATTCCAATATAAGCATGCAAGTCAGTCTGATCCAGTGGCTTCCATTTCTCTTGAAAATACACGCCTCCCCTCCAAGTTAGTCATGTCCAGTATAATTCTTTCTATTGGAGGGGATGTGAAGAGTTGAAATGCTGATTGAATATCATCAACTCGTGTGATGGCAAATCTTGTAGGACCAGGAGTCATTTTGATGATATTAGAAGATGACAGCCTGCCTTGACTTCGGTGTGGTGATAATGACCATTTTATATTACTATCTTTAGATGTCCATGTCTCCTCTGTGGATGATGATTGCTGCATTCCTTGGTTTTCATTTGATGTGGAGATGGCGGTACAGTCCCTCTCAGAATCATCCTCCTCGTCTGAAAACTGGCAGTCTGGGCCATCAATAACATTGTCCTCGGCCTCTGAAAGATCCTCAGTCTCTGAAACATCTTCTTCTTCATCACTATCCCAGTTGAAAAGGAGTGATAAAGCTTCTTCAGCCTTCAACCTTCTGGAGCTCATTTTTGGTCTGTTGAAATGACATGAGGACAGTGACAGGAATAGGCAATAGGAAAAGACAGAGAACAAAAGACTCCTTCAAAATAAAACAGGAAACATGGAGAAAAAGTACAACAATCAGTGAAATAAAACTAAAATGCACACAACACTGGGTCGCAGACCCAGTACCATGACAGGTGTTCCTGCTGCTCCAGCACGGTATAGGTGACGGCGCTAAACGGTGTTAAAAAAGTTTTAAAAAATTAAAAAAACAGCTGCCATGTCTCTCTGCTCGCTCAGGAGTCACCAACAAACAAAAAGCCCCACACCCAAACAATAAAATCTTGTTATGTGGGATAAACCAGACACTTAGGTGATTAGTCAAAACAGTTTAGGGTGGCTCATGTTTATTTTGTAACTTTCTGGGCTTCTCCTATTTGGAAATGATCCTTCTGCTGGCAATGCTCCCATTACCATGACAACCATTTTCTGCATTATTCGCTTCTACCGTTGTTTACAGCGCTGTCGGCAGCTGTTTTTTTTCCCTTTTACTTACTTCCGAAAAGAAAACCTAATTTCTGCTGTTCAATAGGCTTCTGAACAAATTTTAACTTTTTAAAATTGTGCAAAATGCAAAACGCTTAGCTGTGTCTCTAATAAAACCGTTGTAACGTCAGAGGTAATGTTCATATGTTGATTAATGGTTTTCTTTAGTTTTTGATGTACTGCAGAATATTTTTATAAAATCCCAGGCCAGGAAAACCACCTTCATGTTTTTCTCACTTTCTCACTTTATCTTCAGCTACTTTGACACAAAGGCATCTGCTTTGATGCTCACACCTTTGATAAAGTCTGGAAAGTGTCAGCTTCCTTTTTATAGATACAAAAATATGTAAATGTACTGATCTGAATTATAATATTTCTGACTGTCTGAGGCAAAATTTCCCAGATTTAAATCGAATCGAATTTAATCGAATCGTGGATTGAATCGATTCGGGACCTTGTGAATCGGAATCGAATCGATACTAGAAATCAGTGACGATACCCAGCCCTAGTTAAAAAGGGGGTATAGTGCATAGTATGAATCAGGCCACATTGCTGTGAAGGGCCTTCCCCAAACCACAGCTCAGTTCATGTCCAAGCACTCACCATTAGCTACTAAAACTCCTTCAATGCTAAGATGACGATGTGGGCCCACTTAGTGAATAACATATTAGCCGTACAGATAAACATAAATAGAAAAACAACATAAACAGTTGTCAGGTGAGAGTAGCAGATAATAAGGATTGAATATAATGCTGAATAACTAAATGCTGCTAATCTGTTAGCTTAGCTAGCAGAGCAGCTAGCAGTTAAAGTGTGAACTCTATAAGCAGTCAGCTTGGTCCTAGTAGTTAATTGGATTTTATGTTAATTGGTCTAGATTTGTTTATATATCCCAGTCTCTGAGTTCCAGATGTTGCGGATTCATTAATTTATGTGAGACTCTGACATAATTTGATCAGATGAAAGACTTTACAGATAAACAACAACAGCAGCCGTCTAGCTTGACTTGAACATGTGTGTTTGCTGCGATTTAAATCACAAGCTGACATCTTCCTTCTGAAAGCACCGAGCAGCTAAATGGATGTTTGAGTTTACCTGCCTATATGGTGTTAACCTGTTCACCTGTTTAACACCTGCCTGCTCAGTAACATGGTCTCAAACAGAGAAACAAAGAACAGGTTTATTTGTGAGATTGCTGTTGTGGAGTCACCAGTTTATTTCTGAATCACTGACTTTTATTCTCGGTCAGCTCATTTATTGAGTTAAAGAGATAAACCCACACAACACTGACAGACTGTGTGTGTTCTGCATAACACCTTATTCGTCCATCCATTCACTTCCGCTTATCATTTCCAGGGTCGCGGGGGGCACACGAGCCTATCCCAGCTGTCATAGGGTGAGAGGCAGGGTATAGTGACAACTGTGATGAACAGGTCGCCAGTCTGTCGCAGGGCCAACACACAGACAACCATTCACACTCACATATTCACACCTATGGGCAATTTAGATTAACCACCTATCCCCACTACTACATGTCTTTGCACTGTGGGAGGAATCCAGAGTACCCAGGGAGAACCCTGGCAAACATGGAAACACATGCAAACTCCACAGAGAAAGACCCCGGCCTGATGATGGAATTGAACTCAGGACCTTCTTGCTGTGCGGCAACAGTGCTAACCACCGTGCCACCATGCTGCCCCATAACACCTTATTCAATAATGTAATTGTCCTCAGTCTCACACCATTACCGGGAATCATGGGCATGTGTTCTGAATCTGCAGTAGGTGTTAAACAGCGGACAGAGTTAACACCATGTTTGCCAGTATACTCAAAGCTCAGGTGATCTGCTCGATGGTGTCAGACGGAAAAACCCAACTTGTAAATTTATGTCACAGAGACTCAAAGGTTTGAGTCCAGCCAGAGGGCTGCTTTACTATTTTAACTAATGTAAAAATAATTTTAATCAAAAAAATTTGGTATTGAAGGATAATACTGACATTTATGCACATATACATGTTAACCTGAGAGAGCTTTTTTTCTGTGAGGTCTTTAATCTGGTTAAATCATGTAACATAATCAGTTTCGGGAAGGTTACTTTTAAAATGTATTCCACTACAGATTACAGAATACATGCTCCAAAATGTATTTTGTAACGTATTCCGTTACTCAATGAGAGTAACATATTCTGAATACTTTGGATTACTTAATATATTATCATGCTTTTTACAACTACGTGAATGTACTATTGCTGTGTGATTTATTACTATTACTGAAGGTCACCTGCCATACCAATACCAACTATATTTTTAAATCTTAATGACTAACAGTAGGGTGAACATTAGGTAAGGCTGCACTTTTTGCAGCGATCTCGTGTAGAAAACTATCCTGCACGCATATAAAACAGGTTCGCGGCTCCGAACCGTAGTAAAGGGACCTCTGACTAATATGTTGGGTTCCGTGTCGGGCTCGTAGTCGAGGAAAACACAAACAAAGTGTACAGTCAAGTTTTAATAGCTTACTTACAACTGGGCTTATCAGGTACTCTTTTTGACTGCAGTGGTTATTATTATATTTACATGCTTCCAGCTCCCGTTTCTGGTCGGTGACAACTTGTAGTTTTCCCTTTTTTCCCTCCCTGGCGCTCACAGACACATAACGGGTATATGCATCCATTCTCCCTGCAGCATGGACTACACTGCCCATGAGGCTACATTCTTTAGGGCGATGCCTGTAACACTCTGCCTATTACCTTCATATTAAATAATTTTTCAAAATATGTCTTCAGGTCATAATGTATTATGCAAGTAGAGGTGACATGGGCTACAAAGATAAAGACATACAGGCATTAGAGACTCTTAATGCGTGTTTTGTTTGGGTTTCCACCGGCATGAAATTACCAAAAATAGAGAGGGAATAGCCTAGCACATAAAACAGGAAAAGACCACTGTGTAATCCATTTATTTCAACAAAGTAACTGTATTCTGAACACCACCTTTTAAAATGTTAACTGTAACAGAATACAGTTCATATTTTGTATTTTAAATACATAGCACCGGTAAATATATTCCGTTACTCCCCAACACTGACCATAATCTACTCAGAGAAACCAACAAATCTGTAGATGCAACATCTGGAACACATTAAAGGATCTAGCAAGTTTACATTAAAACCAGTTAACCTGGGACACTGGGCAGTGTTGCTTTCTGGCATTTCTACAGCCATGACTGACCTGCTGCTTTGTAGGACTACAGTAATGGAGGGATTTGGAGGCTGACCTGGGCTCTGTGACACTTTTTGTAGTAAACTGATGAAAGCTGTGTCTCAGATTGATGTTAGTCCAACACATCAGATATAACCTCTGCAGCTCTCAGTTGATTTGGACATGAATGCTTTGTGTTTCCTCTGCAGGTGAAGTTAGAAAGTGTGTGTGAGCTCATGTGGATGTGAATTCAGCGGCATGGATCAGTGTGAGGACAGAGAGGAGGGAGTCCCTCCTTCTAAAACCACTCTGTGTGGGGAACATGAGAGCCAGGCCAAAGCTCAGAGGTGAGATTACCATCCCTAACTCTCCCTGACTCTTCTCCATGTCACAGCTCAGCACTCACATCACTGCTACATCATTGTTCACAGGAACCAACCTGGCCCTCCACCCAGCTCTGTATCCGTAAAGAGCAACCGGGTGAAGGATTTCTTTCATAATTACGGGGGGGCAAGGACATCTGAGAGAAGGTAGGTTCTTGTCAATATTAGAATGTCTAAAATTATATCTGCTTTTTATATACAGTGAGGCACATTGTATATTATACATGTTTAATGTTCACTTATTTTTAGGATCCCCCAGAGACTCAAACCTGAACCCAGCTGTTTGTCATTAAAGAGTGACTGGTCTAAAGCTGACCCCATTAATTTTACAATCCAGTCTCTGTCTCCTGCAGAGAGGTGAGCTGTTAGCAAAATGAACTCTTTGATGTCAGTTTGGGGTCTGACTTAAATGATGGTGATGCTTCATTAATTGTTTTCATGTTTCATGGTTTCTAATATGTATCCCCATAGGAGACAAATGGCTCAAAGGACATATAGGAAAAAACAAGGAACTAAACATGAACCTGAACCCAGCTGTGTGTCCTTAAAGAGTGACTGGTCTAAAGCTGACCCCATTAATTTTAAAACCCAGTCTCTGTCTGCTGCAGAGAGGTGAGCTGTTAGTAACATGAACTCTTTGATTTAACTGCTTGATGTTGTTAGAAATCCACTTCAGCAAACAGGAAGTGATGCTCGTGCTCATGTTTTCTTCCATCAGTCACGTTGTGCTGTATGTTGGAGGAAGTTAGAGGAGGTAACACTAACTTTGCTGCACAGATTTCACTTTTACTCATAAAACTCAGAGCATCAAAAATGACTCAAATACTGTCCCCAAAGTTTGATTCTGTCTGTCTGGATGTGGCGTTTTCAGTGGGAGAAACATTTCGTCGCTCATCCAATTAACTTCTTCAGTCTCAGCTGACTGCAGGTTTCCTCAATCTTATAAACAGTACATTTACAGAAATTGTGCAAATGTACTGTTTGCATCAAGAGACTTCAACACTGATTATTATTTTTAACTTCTAAAAACAAAAGTCACTTTTATGAAAATCCATCAAATAAAAATCTAACTCTATTCTGCTAAAATTTAGAAAAGAAAGTTTACTCTCTAACTTTGTGCCTTTTGAAAATCACTTCATCTTCTGCTCATTGAACTGTTGACAGAAAATAAACAAAGCTTCCCCATGCAAATGTGTGCCAAGAAATTTAAAATGTAAAGCAAAAGGAATTCAAATATTTTCTAAATCAGCACCTGACCATGATTTTGCATGTACCTATTACAGCTGCAACATACAGCTTGAAATTCCCTGGCTTAGTCTTTTAAAGTAAAACTACATTAAACACACACAGACAACAGAAAGGCAGAAGGTGAAGAGATTGTCCCTTGAGCTGGATCATTATCTGTTCTTGGAAGTACTTTGGATTTAGGATAAGTGGTGTAAACCATAAAGAAATCAAATGGGACATGAATTATTTGCCTGCAAAGCAAAGAAACATGACTAACTTATTGAATCACCTAAAAATACAACACAAACTATAGAATAATTAATGAATAGGGGCCAAGAAATGACAAGCGAATCAACTGAAACACAAATACAGCTCTCATACACACACACTGAAATCGCCAATGCGTTTCATTCCATCTGGCCAAAAACTAAACACAGAAAGTAAAAAAGAGTTCAGAAAAAAAAATTCTACTCATCACAGATATTAATCAAACTTTACGGTCAGTTTAACCATTCAGACATTTTAGCTCTGTAAAATGTAATGTAAATCAAACTATTCTCATATCCCTTTATTGATTTCAGTCTAATCAAATAAATATAAATAAATAAAGATGAATAACTTAAGAAAATAAATACTCAAGAGGCAGCATTGTTGCATAGCGGTTAGCACTGTTCTGTGCTAAAGTTCACCATCTGGCCTTTCTGTGTGGAGTTTGCATGTTCATCTAGTGTTTGCATTGGTTCTGGCAAGGTAATTTAGTTAATCATTAATTAGTCAATTTTAAAATTCAGTCCAGTTGTTGCTGGACACTTTCTGAGAAATTTTTCAGCTAGTTTATTTGTTAAGCTACATTACACTATGCTATGAATCATTACACCATAAAAAGGCTCAGGTAAAAATCAATAGTGTGTATGGAGGAGGTCCAGGGGAGGTACAACAGTCCACCTATCTGTCAAAAATGGCTGAGGTGTTCTGGTTTGGGGCTGCATTTCAACCGGTGGTGTCGGAGATCTTGTCAAATATCATGAATTATGGACACAGAGTTTGATCCACAATGCAATAGCACAAGGAAAAGCATCTGACTGACAACAGCTTTCTTTTTCAATGATTCCAAACATACCTGGACATGCCTGGACAGAAAAAGTGTGCAGCAGAAGACATTAGTCATGTATTTCCATTTATGTTTGCACCTACTTCCCATTTTTCAATCAATATGTATGTCCATATATGTGGTTGTTTGTGCATGTCCATGGGTATATGAATCAATTGTGTTAAGATGTAAGACACTTCACCTGTTGCCTACTGGTGGTGGTCAGAGGGCCCGGTGGCGCCAGTGTCCGGCAGCCTCGCCTCTGTCAGTGCGCCCCAGGGTGGCT